GAGATCTGAAGTTTAAGGAAGTTTCAGATTTTGGTAGATTTGGTTCCTTGGTTATAGACATTGCTCAGTGTCCCCCAGGCCAGCTGATGGAGGAAGGGGCCCGTATAGACTCGTAGAGTTTTGTGGGAATAGAACTATGCTCACTTCGAGTTTAGGAGTGCTGAGAAGCAGAGGAGGAGTCACTGCAATTAGGAGAACACAAACAAGCAGTGATTAATCATTACTTTGACATTCTTTGGGTTGTTGTTTGGTTTTTTTGGTTTTTGTCGATTGGGGTTTTTTTTAATTGGGATGGCATCATAGTAATTTGTCCTTCGCTTGCCCTTTTCAAAGTGCTTTCAGAAAATTTCTTCACATCACCTGAATGAAGTTGGCCTACGCAATATTATTATTATTATCCTCATTTAGAAGGATGAGACTTTAGTCTGAGATTAAATGATTTGCCTAAGGCTGAAGGAGTTATTTTTACCTTCTTGGTACCCTAACCTGTCTTCAGATTTACTACAGCAGATCTTTCACGTCTTCTTTTGCAGAACAGATGCATAACCTTTTTAAAGAGATTTCTCTTTTAAACAGCATTGTAACATACCATTGTTTAAATAATGCAGGAAAGGATTTGAGAGAGGCGGGAAATTACTTTTCTCATCTTACTCCCCCTGAAACGTGGAGGAAATTTAAAAATAATTAAATGATCCTAATTATGCCTTTTGGTCACTATCCTAGTATTTCCTGGCACACGTGGAATTATTATCCTTCACAAATACTGTAAACAGGCAGAAATTAAGATACTAAAAAAACCACAACACCTTAGTTAAGGAACTGCGTTTTGATTCTTATCTGACATAAACAAAATGTTCACTTCATGCCCTTCAAGACAAGGTTTATTTTTTTTAAAGGAACTTGAACAACTCTTATGTGGTCCCTTCATTTGCTTTGGCAATGTATACTTCAGTGTTTCATTTGCATTTTCCTTATGCTTCTCTGGTTCAAATCAAGTGATTTACAATTGTGAGATCTGGAGAAGATGGCAATTGTTAACTTACAGTTGTGAGATCTGGAGAAGATGGCAATTGTTTTAGGGGTTTTAATTTTTTTTTTTTTAATGAGAAGGGGATTTTGCACCAGGGCCAGTGTGTTCTGGATGATAAACTCAGCATCACAGACCTCTTGGAAGTAAGAAGGGAGAGCTGGTTGTCGTGAACCTGAGTAAGATACGGCGTGGTTGTGGCTGTATAGCAAAGCAGCGAAGAGAGGCAGAATATCCTCTGCTTTGCAGGCTGTTCTTAGCACATGGACTAACATGCATCTGGTCAGCTTGAAGATACTGTATTTCTGCTGGATGTGCTTAAGTTGTTTCTTTCAAAAAGTAAGGAGAGAGACTACAGTGCAGCTAGGTGCCAACAGGACTTGTTCCGGATCAGTCCTGGGCTCCCTTCTGCTTCTGACCCAGCCCCACAGACATCCTGCGGCAGCTTTTAGAAATAACGAGTAATGCAAAACTGAGGTGTGCCACTGGAAGACTCCTTGAAGTAGTAAAATTGAAACTCGACTTATGCTACTGAAAAGCGTTGGGCCAGGCCCGACTGCTTGGTTTGGAAAGCTCCATTTTGGATATTTCTCTTCTGGGCATCAAAACCAACTTTTATCTCTTTTGAGCATAGTCAATGCCCAACTACGACAAGATCTCATGGTAGTCTGTGAAATTATAACTTCCCTGCTTTTTTCATCACGTTGTATAACTGTGTGAATATTTGTCTCTTCTTTTTTTTCTAATTTATCCTGTGACTAAGCATACATGAGCTATGTGTGGCAACTTCAGCTTTCAGTTGTTTCTACTGACACCAAAGATGATTGATGGTAAAACTTTAAACCTCATATGTTAGCCACCAACCTGAATAAACAAAGACCAGTGTGGCAGCTTCATATTAAAAGCTATAAAACCTTCCTGGGGGTTCGTGGATTAAATCAACTCACCAAAATGAATTTTCAAAAAAAGCTTTCTCAAGACTGAAGAAAAACGAACACAACAGTAAATGAAATAGAGCTATCCTCATCTAGCTGACTAAAGCCCTCCTGAGGGCTGAAGAATTGCAATTTTAAACATCTCTCGAGTGCAAGAGGAGACACAGTATTTGTGGATCCTAGGGAGGCAGCTTGAGGCTACAAAAGAACAAAAAAGCCTTTAAGGCACAAAAAAAAAAATTTAAAAAAAGATCCTTGCAGACATAGCTTTCATTGGTCAAAAATAAGTGTTAAAAAATAAAAACCTTCCCCCATTAAAATCAGTATACATTAGCCCAGTTACAAGAAGTGATTCAGATTTTTGCCATGCACTATTTTAATCTTTTGGGTCAATAAACCTTGATAGTAACTTCAGCCAAAAATATCAGCATGTTGTTTATCATAATATGACAGGAAGCAGCTGGGATCTTATTTTCATCTTATTGTGATGCAATTATTAGTAAGCACAGTTGAAAGTAACATTTTTTGTCTTAGGAAACAAACAAATTGCAGTTGTATCCCAAAGAACAGTTTTCATTGCAAAAAAAGTGTGTGTCTTCTCTCTGAACTAGAGTAAGAAATCAGCCCCAAGCAATACTTCAGCTAGCAGGGCTTGTTTCTCATTTTCCTTCTCCATTTTCAGCGGACCCAGTAATATATATCCTTACTTTAAAGCACAGTATGTATTTCTTCCTGACTTTCTAAGAAACACCTTTGTCAGAAGGGAACAATCCCCTTGCTCCTTTGCAGAGTTAATAACAAACGCTAACAGCGTTGTGAAAGCAGGTATTTAGAGGACACTTGCAGATTAAACTATTAAAACCTGGTTGAAAGAAGGCTGTTGCACAATTAGAACATTATTCTTTCACACACAGAGCTGTATTCAAATTTTTGTTGCATCTACTTACAATGAAACTTTCTTGACTTTCTTTTAGGGAAAATTATATAAGGGACTCTTGCTGTGTGCCTGGCACCTGAGGAAGCTGGTGTGAGTCCTAGATGCTCTGTAGGCATGGCTAGATCGTGGTGTAGCGAGTTATACCAGAGGCCAGGCTCAGCTCCTGACATCTGCATCACCCGTAAATGGAGAGCTTGGGTGCAAGTCAGGCCCCTGCCATGGAGTGTCTGTGCTGGTTGGGTCACCCCAACGTATTGGCAAGGTGATCGATCCTCTTAATCATGAAATAGATCTCTATTATTCAAAATTTAGGAAATGAAAGCATTTTGCTATTCTAGCTGCCTGGTTTTGCTCCCATTTCACCAAGAACAAATGTAACATGTTGAATTAACTGCAATATATGTTTCTGCTCTATCAAGGTCCCCGCCCAAATGAGCTGTTGGCTCAGAAAATATTTATCCTGGCAAAGCACCTATGCATAGCTTTGTAAGCCTTTATAGAAGTGGTAGCATTAATTTATCGGGGTAACTTTCAAAAACATAAATTTTGATCACTGGCTTATATACAAGGAGAGTTCAAACAAGGTTTCCTGTCTCACCGTTTTTTCTTCTTTAGATTTGCATAGTGGCATCACTTACTTGCAGCTCCCAAGGAAAGCCTCTAATTGCCTATTTGCATAGAGATTTGGAGATTTCTTCCGCACGTTGGAATGACTCATAGACAGAATTTTCCTAAAGTTTCATCAGATTGTTTTATTCCTTTTGTATTGATAATTGTATTATGCATAATGCATATTTTGGCATGACCTGCTTTTTCCGAAAGATGGTAGTTGGCACATCTTGCAATGAACTTTGTGTTCGGTTCTCACGTGTTTAAGCGCGTGCGCTCCTTGCAAGCTGGGAGCTGGAAGTTATAACTCATGGCTTCTTCAGATATGAGACTGCGGTTTTGATTTGTGGTTGCAATGGTAGATTTAAGCAATTTGGTAACTAAAACAAAATTAGCACAAAATGGCGTTGGTGTGTAAATCATTGGAAAAAAGGTTCAATTTGAAAGTTCAAAGATATTTTATAAGTTAATCTGATACTGAATCCCTTTTATCCTTTATTTAGATATTCAGCTGCTAATCCAGAAAAACACCTAAGTACTTGCTTAATTTGAATTAAGCAGTTAATCCTATTGGAAGTTAAGTACAGATGTGAGGCCCCGATTCAGCCAAGTAATAAAGTGTGCGAGCAGTCCTGTGCAACTCGATGGACAGAGCTGAACCAGGCTCTCCGTACTTTTCCTGGGTCAAGATTCAGCAAGTACAACCCCACCAGAGAGATACGAAGCACAATCCTTCCAGCTGATCTGTCTTCATTTAACGTTGCTTTGTAACTGTACTGTTTACTCAGCATCTGTTGAATAAGATTATGGACTAAAATGTCCTCCTTTAGAGGAGGATGGTGTGAACGTGAACCAAATGTTCACATCATTTTGGTGTGAACGTCTGATCTCATCTAAGATACTCGAACCTATTTGTTGAAAGTCCCATAGCCTCAATGAAGTTGAGGAAGACGCAAAGTGCAATGAAAAATAGTTGCATGATGAATAAAAAAAAGGCCTTAAAAGCACCTAGAAGTTGAGATATTTTGTAAAAAAATCTTGGGAAACAGTAATTCATCTCGTCTAAGGGAGTAAGGGGCAAATATCACTCTCCTGATCTGGTTCAGATCCCACCAAAGACAAAAAGAAAGCTTCTGATTATCAATTTGCAAAGTGTATGTCAGTATAAATGCTCTATTGAGTTAGATTTAGCAATGATTATTGCTTCTTCAGACCATGTCCCAACAAATGCCTTACTGTTTTCTTTTCATGATTTTTTCCTCCTCTCTGTATATCCTTTGTTCTTATGTTTTCTTTTTCCTTTCTTCCTCTTTTTTACCTCGTTTGCTCTTTACAGGTCTTTGCTGATCTTTTTTCTCTCTCCTTCCCTTTCTCTTGATATTCCAATTCTGAGTTTACTTGGACTCCAAATTGGGCAAAAGAAGCAAAAAAGTTACTCTCCGGCTTCCAAGAGTAGCCATCTATATATAAATTTCTTTTCGTTCTGTAACAGATGACCCATATACGACAAGAATATGAAACTACACTCAAAGGTCTGATGCCAGCATCTTTGAGACAGGAACTTGAAGACACCATTGTATCTTTAAAATCTCAGGTAAATTATTATTATTTATCTTCAAGCTTTTGGACTGGATAAAAAACATCTTTTTCTAGACAAGAAATTATGACTGTCTAAAATTTGGCCAAAAATACTGAGTAAGTCCGAAAACCAAATTGTGGCAGCACTCATGCTTCTCACTCAGTCATGTTTCACAAGGCTTTTCTCCTCCAGTTTCCTCACGTTGAGAGCTACCATATTGTATCTTTTGATCCGAGATTTTGCTTCAGTTGGCAATTGAAAGTAGAAATTATGCTGTATTCAGTATTAGGGTTTTTTTTGTCAACCTTTCAAATATAGCACATAGTTATCTCTCATCTTCCTTACCCTGTTTCTCCTGAAGAAATCATTTAAAGGATGTGTGTAAAGGGTGCAGAAAAGAATGAGAAATCATTGTTTTCTTTCAGCCTACATAATAAAGCAAATGGGATATTTCTCTTAAGATAGGAGTTCAAATGGTCATTGTGTTATTTCTACGTTTTCCAATATAAAGAGGCTCTAATAGACTTCTGTAACTGCTTTGTTTTTAATATTGCAAAACACTAGCTCATCTAGAATAATACAGAATCAATATTATTTATATGAAATAGATTATAAAACTGGCTAATAGAAATATCAAAATGTCATTGTAAATAGGGAATTACTAATGAATTGGGTGTGCTTCTTGTACGTGGTTTCCACAGAAGTTATTTGATGCTATCCTATTCAGTATGTTAGGAGCTGGAAGAAAAGAAAATGTCATTGTTGCCTGAACTCACATGAGGAAGGGTAAAGAGCAATAAAGAGGAGTGATCGTAGATGTGGAATAACGGTAATCCTAAGAAAACACTGTCAGTGTTTGCATATGGCCCAGTGCAGGACTGCGCATTTAAATGTGTTGGGAAGGACTGGGATCTGTCCTGGGCTGAAGGGAAGAAATGAGAGAAAGACAGGGCAATGCTCAGGGTGACTCAGAGCTGCCCATGAGCTCTGGGAAGAGCAAAAGCCCTGAGGACACAGCATACAAGTTTAGGCTTGATACCAGCACACGCCTTATACCAATTTTCAGGACCGTTTTTCAAGCAATTATAGATTCTACAAACTCTCCATTTCTCTTTCTTATGCAATCTCTCTCTATGGCGATGGTTGGTAATTTAATGTATTTGGGTTCTTTTCCCTCCTTTTTTTTTCTCTTTACAATGCCTAAGGGTTATTCTGTAGTACTTTTTGCTATGCATGAGACACTTTCCCCGGCAAAGTGTGCCTTTAATAGAAGTAGGAAATTTTCACAGGGGGAAACTCTCATATTCCTATGTGCTAGTAGTGACACAACTTCAGCACTATGGTTGTATACACTCTGCTTACATGTCAAAGGATTCCTAATGGAAGTGATGCTCTTTCTCATATCAATAGTTGTGGGGAATAAAGAGTTAAGGATCTACTGTCTACTATCAATCTACAGTTGATAGTAAAAAGCTATTTTTAAAGTGTGGTTGACTATTAGCACTGTCTGGTAGGAAGCATTACTCTGGAGTGAATATAAGAATACTACACCTTTTAATGAGTTAAAAAAAAGTAGAATCTGATACCCACCTGCAGGGCTTCTGTAAGCAGCAGCAGCATTTCAAAAGAGTAAAAGTAACTACACACACGAAAACCTGGGTGCTATCCCAGAAATACATAGCTGCCGGCTGTATTTCCAGCAGTACGCTGTCGTCGCAGACCACTCAGTAAGCAGGGCTCTTTCTGAAGCACAGGTGTCCTCGTCTTTGAAAATTGTTGAAATTCCTGTTTGAAAACATCAGACAAGAAGGGCAGTAGAATCTCTGCACCTGTCAGGATTATTTATTGTTGGAGGAGGATGAAGAGGATAGGCTGAGTAAAAGCACCAAGCAGTGATAAAAATAAACAACAAAAAAAAAAGAAAATACTTGAGGCTTGGGCAAAGTTTTCTAAGAACGTTGCTATATATAAAGTATGCTGCCCAATTGTCTGCTCTTGGTGAGTCGTCCAAAAGTGGCCACAGTGTATTAATAAACATTAATTTTCATACACTTCAAGAACAGGTGAGTACCTTCATCACAAGAGCAAAAGTGCAGGGATCAGAGCACAGGCATCATATGGGAGTTGAGAGTAGAGCTGGAGCTCCCAAACCCTTGCATAACCCCTATGGTACCACCAGCTGAGTTTAAAAACTGTTTTGACTCTGTTCCTAAAGGAGTAGATGGTGTGCAGCTGGAGCAGGGCCAGGGAAGCCATGCTAACCATCTTCTATCAAGTATTAATTCTAGTAGGCAGCTAAAGTGTTACTGCATTTTATTTTTCAGGATAGACGAGAAAATCACCCTTTATGAAATGAGCGCAAATTTATTAATTAGAATTTTGTACACTATTTTCATATGGGATGTATTTTACAGGTAAATATTCTGCAGAAAAGAGTCTCTGTCCTCCAGGAAGAGCTGAACGCCTACCACGCCAGAAGGTACGTGATTATCTTTGATCAATTTGTACCATTTCACACCTGTGGATCCCAGTTATTGAAGTTTTACGGCTTAATTAAAACACTCAAATATGGTTGCAGTTTTAAAAGATCCTTATTTTCAGTAAACAAGCGTCTGAGAATTTTCCCAGTGCTTAGTCAGTACTATTAGAGCAAGATTAGAGAACTTGCAGGTGCATTACAAGTCTGGGCTTTGCCTCGACGTTCATGATGAGACAGTGGCTCGGTGCACAGCTGCAGCTCTGCGGTGATGCCACCTCCTTTTAAGATAGAAAACAATGATGCAATGCATAATATTACAGATCACATCTTCAAAGTACCGGATCTTCATGAGCCTGAGCGTTTTTTCAGACGTTTACACCCTCCAATATAAATTATGGCAAGTGCTGCAGCAATAAAAAGCCTTGCTGTGCCTTTAGAGTAAGTGATTCACATGGAGAGGTGAGTAAAAGGAAACTTCCTAGGAAAGCCACTCCATCTTTTTTATATTTATAGACTTTGATGATACTTGCATATCTCACATGAGGATTTCTGCAAATAAGAATGTGTGCTTGTAAAAATAGTGTAAAAATTTGTCAGATATTTAAACACTTGTAAAAATGTTAACAGTGTGGAAGTTGTCTGAAAATATTAATCCTAAACTGTTTGTTAAAGAGAATTAGCTAAAGCTAATCGGAAACTGAAAATGTCATAGATTCTCGGTAACATGCCCAGCGCAGGTAACTGTGTTAGATAAATATAAAGCTGTAATGTCGTCTCTAGACTCTCTCCAAGAGCAGCGGTAGCAGTACCAAGGGATGCATTTTGTCTCAAACTTATTCTGAATTAGTGTCTTCACAGTTAGGAAAACAGCTATTTCAAAAGATGAATAATCACATACCATTAGGTCAGGCCGGGCCACAGATGCTGAAACGCTGGGGGTGGAAGGAGCCCCAGCCATGTCCTGAGGGAGAGGAAGGGCAGGGACAGAGCCAGCACGGCACCCAGCAGCTCCGCCCCGGCGGGGCTGCCGCCGCGTGTGCTCCTAGACTTTCAGAAGCTTTTGTGCTGCTTCTGTTCAGGGAAATTCTCTTCCTGACCAGATCTTTTTCCAAGACTACACTCACCCGAAATTTTGTGTTAGCATTTACCTGGCCCTCCTTCACTCTAATACTGCTTTTTGCTGCTTGAACGCGCGTGCGTGCCCGTGGCTGCAGGTGGGATGTCGCTCCTCCGTGGCACGCTCCGCTGCCTGCTCCTGGGACCCGACACAGCAGCGGTCCCGGCCGTCCCAGGCCCGCTGCCGACCGGACCCAGCCCTGGCTTCGGCCTGTTATGTTTTCATAGTAAGAATATTAAGATTCAACTAATGAGAGTCTCTTCGTTTTCAGGTAGCCGGAGCTGTTGGATTTCTGCAATTGCCAAATGGACTGCTTTGAATAGGTTTGAAGATTTGGCTCTTGTAAATTAAAATGCAAAGATCAGTGGCTGTTTTGTTAGCACATAAAATGTAATGAAGTTCATGAAAACACATCCATTGCTCGTGCCAGCATGTTTTTAGTTGTATCTTCCTTCCATTATTTTTTTTATCATTATCTTATTACAGACTTACACTTTCAATATACTGTGTGTTTGACTGTGTGCTGAGCTTGCTTACTGAGCGAGTAGAGTTTCCTTTACTAATATTTTTGTTATTACTTCCCAGTACCATTCTCTTCACTTTTATACATGAAGAAAATCCCATTTTCTATTATTATTGTCCAAGATATTTTAACATATTTTGACATTGTTTTGTGTCCATGTGTTTACATAATATTAAAATATTATTATTTTGTACTATTTTGTTTTGACATTATTGTCCTGCTTGGGCATCTCACTCACCTAAGTAGCCACAGTGCATATGAGAGTTTTGTATGGCTTTGTTAACTGGGAAAATATTTCATGCTGTGTTTCAAGGAAAAAACTTGTAGCAAGAATGAAAACACCGTGATGACAAATGCAGCCACCGTTGCCAGTTAATAGCATATAAATGGATCATTGGGGTTGCACAGGCCGGTCACAGGAAACTCCTTCGTCATTTACTGATAACACAGTTCTGGGGTGTTACTGAAGGAGAGTCGTAACCGATTTGGCCTTGATTCTGCGTGAGTGTACACAGGCTCTCTTGGATGATCCCGGTAGATCTAAGCAGCTTCCCGAGGGTTTGCAGGGATGAGGTTTGAGCAGCGGTGGAAAGCTGAAGGACCCGGACAGGGAGTCCTCCTCGTAGCTGGCTCTGCCTCCCAGGCATAGGAAGGCTTCCTTATCTCTTGGCCATCCCTGAGCCAGAGTGTACATTAGTACGTTTGTAATCTGTAAATTTAGATATGCCGAATACAAGAATAGCTTTTTTTTTTCCCTAGGCACCATCCTGCCGGCAGCGTTCGTATCAAGGCACAGTTAATGGTCTGAGTGCTTGAGAGGGGGCCAGAAATTCCTGTCTTTTAAGTCCAGCTGTGGCACTGGCAGCAGCAGCGAGACCCTCCGTATCGCTGCTGACGGGGACGGCCACTTCTCCTCCCTCGCCCCGGTGGCACCGGCACTCAACGTGCCGCGGTCCGGGCAGAATTCGGAGGGTCTTGACGGCTTGAGTGCCCGCGGCTGGACGCGGCTGTCCTGCCGAGTCCCAGCTCACCAGCTGCGCTCTTATCTCCAGCTGGCGTGGAGATCAATGAGGAGAGGCTTTGGCAGGCTGGGCTCCATCCACCCCCACCTCCTGGCAGCGCCGGCAGGGAGCTCCTTGCCAAATACAGGCTCCAACTTTGCTGGGTGCTTTGCTGATTGTCAGTCTGGTTTTCCACCTTCCTTGAATCAACAAGTGATCCCTCTAATTATAGATAAGGGGTTGTCATGACTCTGATAAGCGAGGAGGTGCTGCGGCAGGTGCCACAAAGCCTCGCCTGGGGCAACGGTGAGTTTTAGTAGGAGGAATTTGTTAGGATGCATTTAGTTAATTGTGGGCAGTAATGTATTTATTCAGAGAGGCGCACGGCAGTGATGGTCGGGCTCTTTGGGAGAAGCACCGAGAGCTGACACGGCTGCGGGCTGCGCACGCTGAGTTTTACCCGTTGGATATTGCCCTGTGTCCGAACAGCAGATGTCGGGATAGTGAAATCTCTTTTCTCATGCATGGAGGAAATGAGGCATTTTTGATTCTGCTGTTCTGCTTGCATTTTTGCATGGTGGCTGGGTGGTTATAGTGCTTTCGAAAGCGGTAAGGGGGTGTACATCCATAAAGAAACACAGGGACCCTCTTCTAGCTAGTGAATTCAGGCCTCAATTTCCTTTTTTTGGATGGAATTGGGTTGCTGGTGTCATTGATGATCAAAAAGCAGCTTGAGAAAAGTAGATCTTCGTCAATCTGGGAGTTTTAAAACTCTGGGAAACTCTCTGCAGCATCAAATACAGTATGAGGACCATTTTGAAGGTTCTTATAAACCTGATAAGAAATTAAATTCAAGGTTGGTTGGAGTTCTCTTGTAGTTGTTTTTAACATTTCTTTGATTACTTTTGTAACGAGTAAGAGAGTCCAAATCACAGGATTGGAAATGTTTTTATACATATTACTTGCTCTCTACCTCTCTTTTCACCCGCTAAGTAAGGAATTGCCAGCTGCCAGTAGTTGGCTTCATTGGCCATAAGACAAGCTCTGGTGAAACCAGCTTGAGTATGGTTAGAGCTTTATTTCTACTTTTTATTGATTTAATTTTACTGATTTTTGCTGTGGGAGAAAAGATGGTTTTACTCTATATAAAACCCCAGAAGAAAAAGGCATCCTAACGTTTTTCACCAGTATCAAGGGAGGTGACCCTTATCAAGGTGACACTTTATTTCAGTGCCACTCACTGTTCTTGTGTTACACGTAACAAATATGCTCATTTCTGGTGCAGTTGGAAGAAAAGGGATACGACCTCCCTCCTTCTCCCAGCCCTCTGCTTTCTTCTGCAACAGTGCTTTAATTGTACCGGTGGCAGCAGATACTCCTCTTACTTACCCAAATCTCTACCGACTGTGGTTTCAAACTGAGAAATGATTTTGCTGCACAGAAAAAGATTTTGTTGTGGCTAGAAGAAAATATTTGCGATCACTAGAATATCTTACAGTGTTTTATTGAATTTTCTGAAAAACACACACAGCTTTCATTCTAACAACGAGCAGTTTTGATAGAGAGTGTATATGGGTTCTGATTTTTTTTTTTTAAATTATCTTAATGCACTGCAAGTCCTTCCGAAGTCACAAAATGTACTGGAGGCACCACACTACTAAATTATACTTGGTCTCGTTCTGAGGGTACAAAGGAAAAGTAAGACGTCAGATATTGTATGAAAAAGTTTCAGAACACAAGGTCATTTTAATTCAGACTTCTTTTTTCAAGGAACTATCTTTTCTAAGCTTTGATATTTTGTTCAGAAAGGTCATTTCTTTTAAGCCTTTGTCATTAAAGAAGACTTGTTCTTTAAAGTGCACTATCAAAGACTGCAGAAATTGCAAGTTACTGAAACTAAAATGCATGATCAATTTTAAGTCTGCCAACTAAAGCCCACTTAAAATCAGATGTCCTCTGGTACTGGTGGCTTCTTTGATAAAGCCAGTGGAAGATACGGTCAATTCAAACCAAAAAAAATGAAGATAATTAAATAAAAATTTTCCTCCCTAAATTAGAAATTATTTTTTGTGAAAAAGCATTGCGAGAACTGAATAAGGATCTGATCCTGCAAAAATGCGAGAGAGAAAGAGTCTGTCTGTGTGTGTGCTGCGTTTGGGAGCAGTTTGTAACACTTTTACATAGCAATTACGCACCTCTTTTTCACGTTATCTGACATTTGTAATAATGTAAATAAGTCAAGCCCGTGGACAAAATATCATTTATTTACCATTTGCTACCACGAGATGATCTTTCCTTCGCTGGCAAACATGGTAACAGAAAAGAGTGAAGACCTTGTGCCGTGCCCTTGCTCTGCAGTCCCTGATCCTGATCTCTGCTGATCCAGCCTTTATCCCATGAACCTGACCGTTGGTTACTGGCCGTTAAGTGCTGTGCTCGCTTCAAGGCCTCCTTGGGAGAAGAGACTTTTTCTTTCCTGATGGGTCTCCTAATGCTGTTGCTAGCAACGGTGAACTTCATTTTAACCCAGATATATCCAGTATTCAAGGTAGTATTTTTGGAAGAGCCTTGGGAAGCTGGGCAGGCAGCTTACCTTCACATAAGGAGGATTTAGAGCTGCGAGCTCCTTTGAGCAGCTCTCTAAAACAATTTTATCTGCACAGCTGTGTCCCAACAGCCTGTTTTGTCTCGCATGCTGCATAAACGTATAGCTTAGTGGAAAGGGAGATGTGCATTATATATGTCAGCACATGTGTCAGACTTAGTCTCAGTACTTAGGACTGAAAACAAGGAAACGTGCGTTTGTAAAATGAGCAAAGTAAAGAAATACCTTTATCTCAGCTGGACAGTTAAGTTATAACACAATACTTCCAACTTCATAACATCTATTCACCAGATTTATACTTTAGGAAACTTGTTCTTCTCCCATTTGAAGCCTGAAATCAAAGTTCAGTAACAGGCAGATTTGGCCATCATTTCAAAAGAAGGTTGTGGGTCCTAATTCTGTGGTTGTCTTATCCCAGCCGAACTAATGCTGAAGTTAACTTTGTCCAGTTTTGCCCAAAGAAAGGCTTCAAGGAATTTATTAAAATTCTGGACCTAGAATCCATAAGGAATCTGTTGGTCAAAGTGATGGAGGACTCTCTAATACCACCCTTGTCTCTTCACTGAGGACCAATGCAATAGTGCTGAGAACTCCTGGAGGATGCAGGACATGTCTAATGAGATTTAGTTGACCGTCTACATGACCCGAGAGGTAACACCTACCCCGTAACACACAATACTGAAGCAGTTGTTGACCAGCTGGTTTCCTTCCCGCTGAACTCCACCATTAGCTGCAGCGCAGACTCGGCCGATTAACACGGCACTGAAGATGCGGCTGGGGAATCTAGGGATTTGTCTGCACTGGCCTGTGGATTCGCAGCTGACCGCTCTT